ATAAATTTCCTCGAAAAATCAGAGATGCTGAGACCGGAATATTACAGCTCGAAAAGAAAGCGGAACCGTTTTTAAAACATCTGTTACCGGTGACAGCCCTAGTACGTCAGCTATTTTCCGAAATAACGCACTGATAATGGACCCATTCTTTTGGCGCAGTTCTACCGTTGTGGTCTTTCCCCACCCAAGAAAACCGACAATTTTTACTAATGGAGCATTGCATGTTCATGGCCCAAGCAGCGAGTTAGAAACTCGGCGGCAACGTGGCCCTTTGGGCTGGGACGTAACACATGTGAGCACTCTCATGTAGTCATCATGGGGTCCCAGAGAACTGAAGGACGCGTTATCAGGATTCCTCACCGGAACCGAGGAGTACGTGATGCATTCAAAGAAAGATTAGGTAATGGGAGACGATAGTTAGCATCTGTTAGGTTGAAAATCCGAAAACCCATCGCTGAGAGGCCGTTTATTATCAAACACCAGATAAGCAGTTACAAGCTGCTGAACAACAAAGTGAACGCCTCATATGTACATAAGTTTTTTTAGAAAGTGAGCACTCACAGGGCTTCTTGAACTTTCATAGACATTCAGTGACTAGTACACAAATGTAAACGAACACTACAAGGCGATTCCGCAAGTTTCGTAATAAACTTTACCTTATATTAGATACCGTTGTTGGCACAGTCCGTCTGACAATGTGAAGTTAAATACTTCCCACCCTATAGAGTAGATGAAGTTAATTTACTATGCTGGTTTTCTTTTCAGACAATTGGACGTATGACTCGAAAAGGACATACAATGTTGGATTTTACTTTCTAGTCAGCCAAATGTCTCGTCAGGACAAGACGCTACTATCGTTCTCCCAGAGGTATAGTTGCGAGCGGCTATGTTACCAGAGCTCTTAATTAGATGTTTTTAAGTTCAAGCTTGTACTGCCTAGCTTCTTGTCTTCCTGATGTATCAACTCGAGGACGAGCTTTCACCTTCAGGCCAGGTGTCTGTTCCCTTCAGTGTGGTGACACTCGTTTCTGTATTCCTACTCAGTGGGTATCACCATTTGAACGGCTAAGCAATACACCACAGTAATCTCAAATCGACATTCTCGTTTCATGGTAGACATGCATCATGAGGAACTTGATGATTGGACGCAGTGACCTCAAACTGGACATGTAAATCTTTTGGTTTTTGGCTTGAAGGCTAAACATCACATCAAAGGACCCTTCGGGAGTGAACCTTTCCACACGACAAAAGGCGGTCCATGCAAATCTCCGGCGAATGGAGCTAAGAACAATTAAGAATGTTCACTTGTGTCTTCACAAAATGTGAACTTTTCAGGTCAAATTGGTTGGCGTTTGTGCACCAATTGTGGTCAGTAGTTCTACAGCAAACCAACAAAAATGTCTTGAGCTACTGAGTTTGTCAGAACATCCCGGCGCGCTGTTCCAGTACGGAGCATTGATGAGTAGGGTGCTTGACAGAGCTATAGCATTTGAATGAGCTGCGAGACAAACATTGTACGATTGTTCTTCACACAACAGAACCTGCATGTCTACCCTTCATTCTACTCACCAGTTGCCCAAGCACAATTAATTTATAAGAGACCGAATATCTGTTTTATGAAAAAATAACGTCAAACACCCGAATGTGTAGCAAAACGCGTCTTTTGTTAGTGTAAACGGTTTATGTTTAACCATGACTCTTGAAGGCCGTGAGAGCATTCGGTTTGACGAAAAGTGTACGAACACCAGTTTTCTCAGCAACCGGGCACTTCCCCTTTCACCGATTACTTTTCAGTGCAACAGCTTGTAGTGCTTGAGGGCTGTACAGCTTGGTAATTTCAGTGATCTGTAACGTGCAAGTAAGAACTGAACTGGAAGCAGTGATTATCTCACTTTAATGTTCAAAGAGTTACAGACAGATGTTCAGGTCAAAGCAACCTGAGAAATTCCGACTGCTTAGGAATAAATGACACTAAAAAGAACTAAGCGGATCTACTAGTTCTTACAGAAAACTGCCATCTGTAACAAGAACCTTGAGCATAACTATTAGCCCAATAGTTTCTCAACGCCATACGAGGTCTGTAATATAGTTCTGTAAAAGGTATTCACTTTCGCTGGAGGCCCTCGGTGGATAGTTGTAGAATGGAATAAACCGGAATTCGGTTCAGATTTTTGTTCTTCAATACAACCGTGAATTGGTTTAGTATTGTTACATAATAAGTGCCCAGCTTGATGACTGCAATGACTGTTCAAATCTTTCACCCGGAAATGTACGAAAGCGAAACACAAAACTACATGTAGATCCATGAAAATCTGCCGCACTGCAATACAGCCCATGGCTTAAAAAATGCCCCCTGTATATGGAAAATTTCTCCGTGTAAGAGCTACTTTTGAACCAGATGTCCTCAAGCACCGCCACATAGTCCATGAAGACCGAAAACAAAAGTAAAAGATGTTGGAAAACTAGTCACCAGAAAACGGTCTATTGATCATGTCGGTTCATTTGGCCAAGAGCTCACAAATAGGTTCTTCGGAGTGCGTGCCTATTGTAAAGTTCACTTGGATCACGGTTAGGAATCCTCTAGCAGATCATTACTTTGCTCAGACTTGGTAGATTTTTATCAGAGTGATTTGGTCCAACAATGATATGAACATTCAACGATGGAATCATCCACTATATTGCTAGTTGTCTCCTTATCATCTTTACCTAGCACCGTGACGACTGGAGTCCGCTTGTCCGCGCTGTGTTTTAATATCATCTGTCAGTGGGTGATGGCTATTCTAAATCTGATCGCTTTGTATCTCAACACGCCTATTTAAAAACGCCAGCTTCCCTTTTCGTTGGCCCGCTGTCCAACAACCAAATGAAAAATGACTTCCAGATTTTCCGTTTCTCCATACAATGCTATTTTATTAGAGTCAAAGCATTTGGACTCCAGATGTGGAAATTGTCAGTGACATTATCCAGCGGTGCAAAAACTTAGATCTGCAGGCAGTTCTTGATCTAATCTAATCTAGTCTGACCATTAAGTGCCCATCGTACTGGTAAAAACACCAGTGGGGCAAACCTGTTCTCCACTCAAGCAAATGTTTAGCGGAAAAAAATTACAAAAAGGATAATGCACTTGAACATGTCGCTACCTTCTGAAATTTTGATTCTACCTTTCCACCTAAACGGAAATCTACACAATGGACTAACATGCATACAGTTAGAGCAATTTCCAAATTACAAAAATCCTATGAAGGAAAAGTGAAATCAGTTTTCGCATAAATAATGCTTTATTCGGGGCGGCGATTAGCCCAGTCCATAGAACCGACAGCCATCCTTAAAGGACATCCGCAAACATGAGTTTGTTTAATGTTACTGTCCCAAGCGCACTCTGAATATCCATCTCAGTTGCAAGACAACGCTGGTCCAGTATTTTACGCGTCAGACAACTAATGCACCAGCGGCGTCTTCAATGGTTCACTCATGTTTACAATAACACTGAAGTAAGCTTTGCAAATGTGTGGCCAAGTATGGAGTGCGGCACTTCTGTTCTGGAGGGTGAGTGAGCACTGAGATCGACATCGTCAATTTAGCTTTAGAACGGACTGCTCTTCCTATAAAGCGATATTGAGAGACGTCAATGACATCGGTGTCATAAAAGGCAAATGAGCACATCAGAATCAACCTTTTTGGCAGCGAAAATCGGATTACCAGCATAGGTGTTTTAGATGTCTTAAAGCTGTCCTGGCTTTAACGAATTGGGATAATATATTTCCCATCATCCGCTCATCATCAGAAGGCCAGTTTTTTTAGTTAGATAAAGTTATGAACCGCATCCAAACTGTATCCTTCTAAGGAGACGGCAGATTCACACTCCTTAAATCCCACAGCATTTTGTCTAGAATGAAGAAGAAAGCACACCACCACACCCATATATCATATGTGGTGAATGTACACTGTTCAGAATAGGTAATTTTTATTCGTTTATTTTACACGTTCGCGTGTGCCCATCAGGTATTTGGTTGATCAGTATTGGTATGGGGGTACAGAGTGACGAACGTCCATAAGAAATGTATGTTTACTGTGGTTCCCAATACGAAACTTTAAATATGTGTACGTTTGACAAAAAAGTGAGCAAAATTATGCAGACTTTAGTTATCCACTGTCGTCGAGACAACAAGTGCGGAATTATGTCAATGACCGACACAGTGCGTTTCAAGGCGCGCGGAATGTTGGCTCAGTAGTTTGGTGCGCGGTAGTCCCTTCCGAGGCCAGTCTCGCGATTGTGATGCGTAGTGCAATTACAGGAAAATCGCTGTAGAGCAAATCAGGGTACGAAGAAATCAAGAACAGCATGATTAAGTAGGTCAGCTGCTCAGATTTCCACACACACACACAAATGCTGAATTAGCAGTGTCGTACTGGGAGTCTTTGCGGAAGGTATGAGTGAACTAAATAATTCGAGATCAAAAGTACACAGGCACAGTAAGCAAATGAGCTGGAGAGTTACAGTGATCTAAAATAGGACCAAATGAAATGTTAGGACGGAATATCTCGTAGATCCGGACCAGTTGACCGAGGCGATTTTGACGGGCCTCAGAAACATGATTATTCATGCCCTCGTAGTGAGAAATTTCTTAGATGAGTAACATCCAAAATAATCATGGCTGTTTTTACTTTACTGTAAACACAATGATATTGACTTGTCCGAAATGACAAGCAACCTAATGCTAAAATGTTTGGATCCGTTCTTATATGCATTATAAAAATCAAGGGTCCATTGTCACCAAAATTTAGAACCAGATGAAGCAAGAAAGTGCACAATTCCTGCAACTGTTATATTGACTTTATTACTGGCTGGTGGACAAATAAATATGCTGTTATCGATATACACCAACCGACCCATAACTGCCTTAGGAGTGAGCAAGTGAATCATTGAATGAATATCACATGATCTGCCCAAGGAAATCGATAATATTGGGCAGTTTGAAAATTGCCATTTGGCTGGACCAGAAAGCATCTGGATAATACTATGTTCGCCATCGGTAGGTGAAAAAATGATACTGCAACTCTTTTCATTAAGTTTTACCGCGTCTATCACGTCCAATGACAGCCATTTGGTTGGGAATAAAATGATAAATGACTTCCCCTAATGGATGATCTTATGACAAATTAGTTTTGTGTAGGCCTATTGTGCATGATGAACAATATGCCGGACTCTTGACTTCGCTATCAATTCTAAGCCATTTTCAAATAAAACGTTATCATCCGCATGACATATTGGTTATCTAATTTTTTTTGGTCCATAAGCAAAATGGTCTCTCAGTTTTTTCGTGCAGTGAATCATAAAAGCTGAAGTTACCTTGGGGACACTACCACATGAGTTTTGTTCATTTCATTGATTGTGGCGTTCAGTATATGGGAATGTTCTACCTGGACCAGACTGTCTTGATGATGGCAAACATAAAATTCGGAATTTGAATTCCCACTGATTGTGTTCCAACTACATCGTTAGGACTTGTGCAGTTGCATCTTTTGCGTACTTTTGGGATACTAGCTACTGGTGGTAAAATTGGATGGCCACGTATTTTTAATTAGTCCTGTAGAGATTACTGTAGTCTTCTGTAAAATCATTGGTTGCATTTTACAGTGCTTAGCTTATGGTTGGAGTGCATTTGCTGCCCTCAGTGGCGCTCAGGCATCCAAACTATTGCCTTCAATGCATAGCTCCCTTCCCAATCCCCCCACTTAACAATCCACTGATAGTGATGTGTTTACGCACCCATTTATCAACTCCCGCCTCTAATACGCAGCTGCATACCCTACCTCCCCGAATCATCGGTGAGTGGAACTGTGGTAACTGCAGCCACTGTTGGACAAATACACGGTTATTACAGCTGACATAAACTGTTGCTAATCTGAAGACTGTAGAAGATAGTCACAAAAACCAACATGGTGGTCGCTGGAAGAGACAAAGTAGTGCACAAGCGGAACAGATGTCATAAAATATTCGTGGAAGCCTTTATATGGAGGAAAAAGCTTAAAACTGTTACCAGTGCAAGTAAACGGTTGGAAGACGCTTGCTGTGCAACTTTTATGCAGCAGATCAGGCTGAAGAATATTGTAAACAAGCGATTCGGTTGAGTCACCAGTGGAAACCAAGTTGATATTCAGATGAGTGTACTTGTTGAATGCTATCCAATTTTGGTTCAAGTAGAACTTGTGGACTGCTCCCACCTGATGAGTCCGATGCAAAAGAGCGAAACTAGACATCGAGTACGCAGACGACATAGCTCTACTTGTTGATATCCAATTTTGGTTCAAGTAGAACTTGTGGACTGCTCCCACCTGATGAGTCCGATGCAAAAGAGCGAAACTAGACATCGATCGAGCAGACGACATAGCTCTTCTAGGATCTGACCCCGTGGCATTGCAAACAATACTAAATAATATAAATAATTCTGCCTCGCGGTTTGGTATGCGCTTCACACCTGCAAAGTGTAAAGTGCTACTGCAAGACTGGGTGGGCTCGAACCCTAGCCTCATGCTTGCGGATGAACCGATTGAGGTAGTAGACAAATTTGTCTACCTGGGCAGCTGTATCAGTCCCGGTGGTCTCGCGAAAGATGATATTTCCATCCGGATTGGGAAGGCCAGAGCAGCTTTTGCGAACCTACGTCACCTGTGGCGTAGGCGTGACATCAGTTTCTCTGTCAAGGGTCGAGTTTACAATGCTGCGGTGCGCTCCATATTACTATATGGATCAGAAACCTGGCCGCTGCGCGCCGAGGACGTCAAAAGACTTTCAGTGTTTGACCATCGATGTCTTCGGAGCATTGCCCGAATCTGGTGGGAACACCGGATCAGCAATTCTGAAGTACGTCGAATGGTATTCGGGAGAAATAACTCATCCTCGATAGATGACCTGATCACACTGCACAGGTTGCGCTGGCTTAGCTACGTGCTGCGTATGCCAGTCGACCGGCTCCCACGAAGGGCTCTTTTCGCCGAACCATGTGAAGGGTGGAAGAGAGCCAGAGGCGGTCAAACAATGACTTGGCAGCGAAGTATGAAAGCCATTACCAGCAAACTCAGCTGCGCTGGTCACTGCCGTCTTCCTGGATGGGGACCCCGAGACGGGCCACATCAATGGCTAGAGACATTATCAGACATGGCCCAGTCGCGCCCTCAGTGGCGCTCGTGCATCCAAGCTATTGCCTTCAATGCATAGCTTCTTTTCCACCCCCCCGCTTGACAACTCACTGACAGTGCTGGATTTATGCACCAATTTACCAGCTCGCGCGTGCAATGCGCAGCTACTTACTGCCCAATCATCGGTGAACGAAACTATGGCAGCTACAACCAGTGTACGACCAGTACGCGGTTATTACAGCTGATAATGATGATGATGATTTGTGTAGTTTACTGTATGGATATTTACCGCGATATCTCAAATGTCATACCAACTGAAATACGGTTTGATGGTTGAGCAGCACATCCAGCTGAAGAGTATGAAAAAACGGTAGGTTCAATTAGGTCTTCCCTGGAGGAACAATGGGGTATGCAAATGAGTGTATTTGTCGTGACAGAAGACTTCGAAAGGCCTCATTCAGCATCATCATAATCAACATCAATAGCAGCAACTCCACTGCAGGCAGCAGTAGTAAATGATGCGGCTTTACAGCCACACATTCATGAGGAAGACGGAATTGGCGAACAGCTGAATGAAAGGCGCAGAACAGAAATTTAGTACAATTCGTCTTAAGTCCCGGAAAAAACAAAATGCAAATATGTCGATATTGGTCTAGAAACACATTCCAGTATTGCGCAGGAATGTAAGCCATTAGTGGGGTAAACCTAAAGTACATATGCGACCCTCTTTCTAACAGGGCCCAAAAACAAAACGGTCAAAGCACTTTGGCTACCAAGTCCGAATAGAAGTTAATACTATCACCCGCAAGTACATTGGAGCCGGTGAGTCAATCAATAAACAAAAGTTCACGAAAGATGGTCATGTGGTCTTAGTTTACAGAAACAACGAATACACAATGCTATCGAAAACATATTGAAGCATGCTTGGGAAGTGATATGATGTCTGTGTAGGTGGAGGCCTTGGCAGCAACACCAAAGAAGAGAATTGGTGCTTGACTACCGCAAAATCAGTTCAGTTTATTTAAATAAGGTTTTACAAAGGAAAACATGAGGTAATGATGAGGACTTAGGGGAAATCTACCAAAAAGAGCCGAAGTTGCCACACCTCTGGCAACCATCCAAACAAGAGGATCTGTTGGCATGCAAGTAACAGAAGTCGGTCAGCTTCCATATAGTTCACTGCCTTCAGCCAAGCAAAGGGGGGGACAAATGGACCCCAGGCTAAAAAGCTAACGGCAAAAAAACAGTCACTTTCCCTTGCATCTTTATTGCTCTTCTACCATGTCGTATTCTGTCCAGCTCTGGGTTTCCACCACACCAAGTTCCTGGCCTTTGAGATTCGTGCGTTTGCCTAGTCTGCCATACTAACAGTGAAGCTCCTAAAAATCCAAATATGATTATGGCGTTCCTCAGCTTCAAAGGTCTCCTCTTGGATTCTTGCAGGTATTTTCGAATACTTGATATTTCCTAGGATAACTCCACGCTTCGTGGATGCAAAGTATGTGTCAGGGGACTTGATAACCTTAGTCAACTCGCCCAATAGGACTTCAGCTTCATGCTCTTCTTCAAAAATGAGAACAGCGGCAACTGCATACTTCAGTTTGATAAGGACATCACTGGTAGAGGCTCCATAGTCCGTATCACTAAATTGGTAAATAAATTAAGTAAATGGAGACAGCGGCCATTTTATCGGACAACGCTGATTATATGAAAGCTTTTGGAGAGCTCCGCGTACAGTCTCACGTGTTCACAAGCATGTGAACAGAAAATGGCTTATGATATCCACAGATATCTGTAGGATACCCTGTTTAAAAATATTATTTTGTCGACAGAAGTGAACGCATCCTTGAGGTCGAGAAACTCCAAGATGGCATGACACTCATAAGTGCACTGGGACTGTGGCATCGCAGACGCTGTTTAAGAGTGCCGGTCATTCTTGAGTATGTTTTCCAGTTTTCTATGACGGTGCACTCCGTGAGTTATTTGTTATTTCTGAGGGCTGATTTTTAAACATAAACTTACCCCATTAGCTTCATCAAATCCGGCGAATTCGTATTCTTGTATCTCAAAACACCACAAGACGCGAAACCTTTCGATCCATTATCATCATCATTGTCAGCTGTAATAACCGCGTACATGTCATACAGTGGTTGTAGCTGCCACAGTTTCGCTCACCGATGATACGGGGAGGTGGGTTAGGTAGCTGCGCATTGGAGGCGGGAGTTGATAAATAAGTGTGTAGATACAGCGCTATCAGTGGGCTGTTAAGTGGGGGGATAGAGAATGGAGCTATGCATTGGAGACAAAGCTTGGATTCATGAGCCACATTGATGGGGTAAGTGGGCCATGTCTCGAACTACTGATGTGGCCTGTCTCGGGGTCCTCATCCAAGAAGACGGAGTGACCAGCGCAGCTGAGTTTGCTAGTAATAGCTTTTATACTTCGCTGCCAAGTCATTGTTTGACCGCCTCTGGCTCTCTTCCGCCCTTCACGTGACTGTGAAAAGAGCCCTTTGAGGAAGTCAGTTGACTGGCATACGGAGCACATGGCCAAGCAAGCGCAACCTATGCAGTATGATAATTTCATCGATCGAGGGTGAGTTATTTCTTCCAAAAACCACTCGACGTACTTCAGCATTGCTGTGTGTGCTGTCGTATTCAGTTGCTTGAAGCCGCTAATGCAGCACCATGCGATCAGTCTATCCACTGGCATATATATGAACACAAGAAAAATTATTTTCCTGCTACTGCATTAATTTTTGTCAGAGCTTTTGGTCTAGCGCCAATTAGGATAGGAAGATTGAAGACGTTCAACATCACCGAGACAATGACGACTGGATATGAATTGCTGGAATTTCGTTCATTCGTTTTTGTCAAATAATAATAATAATAATAATAATACTCGGTTCGGGTATTAATTTTTTACCAGCGCGCCCGGCTGTATTGGTTTCAGCGTGCATGACCAGTCTATCACCTATCTGCATACCAGCCAGTGCAGGCGTCATGACCCGTAATACTTGCAAAATCAAAAATATATCAATGATTCACTGAGATAATAAAAGGACAACAATGGGACAACGAAATAGGTTTGCCCACAGACACCCGGATGAAAAATTAAATTCTGAGTTCCTATTGCAGTTAAGTAATCCTCAGTACAAGTAGGTCCATAAAATTCAATATCTCGGTCACAATACCTCACTATTTACTATTGTTAAGCATATGGCGGGGCCTTCTACAAGGAGCTCAATTACAAATGACTGCTTCTAGTACGTGGTGACGTTGAACTGTTTTTCCGCTTTATTCCATGCACACGTAGTGTCACATGTATTAACCCTTTTAAAAATATTAGGAACGTGGTCTTCTACAAGTGTATCAGTTCAATAACTAAGGGCTTTCAGAAATGAGTGCGAGTTTCAGTTTGAGGGCCCGGATATGGGGTTAATTTGATTACATTAAGTGCATATTTTCAAGTGTCTACCTTACATCAAAATCACTCAGTAACCACCAGTTGAAACTGTGGTGGAGTGGTATTTCTTGAAGTATAGTCTCTGTCAGGTATGGAGGCGGGTTAAACAGACGGCCACTTGTCATGCTGCTTAAAATGAACCTTTCTTCATTGCCTATAAAAGTTATCAAATATGATCCCTTCACTCACTGATTTAGGCGAGCTATAAAATTATTCCAGCGACAGGATGAAAGGTGAAGAGCCAAACCAGGTAGACAAAATTAATTGTTCTTCTCGTACAACTTGTAAATGTGACAAAATGAAGCTTTCCTCATGTGTTTGGAGGTAAGGCTAAGATTAATCCAAGTTTTCTCAGTTACGTCCAAGTGTTACAGGTATTTGTTCCACTGTATCTTTTTTCAGGTAAAAATCTAACGTCACTCTCCGTACTTTTTATTGGCTCTCATCTGCTTCGCGTTTGGCATTGTCAAGCCGAATGCATTCCAAAAGCCCCGGACGTTCACCGGGAGCACCCATTTTGGAGCATGCGAGCATTTGAAAATCTACAGTATATGTACGGTTTTCCCATCGACTTTATGGGTGGTACTGTCAGCCAGTTCATGTTGAATACAACCAAATGTACAGGAGATTTGACAACAGCTAACAAGATAGCTTGCAACTTTGCGAACATACCTCAATATTGTCACTTTGGCATGTCACAACTATCCTCGCTCAGAGGCAAGCCCGGGAATGCGACTTGCCCCGGTCCATTTCTACCCGATTGGAGTGCTCAACCAAAGAAGGTCCCACCACCGACAGACCTGAGCACCCTTCATATTCTAACTTCGGAGACCGCAAGGAGACTTGGTGAAGATCCACCAGAGTGGAATCCGTCCTTTGATCAGTGGTTCAAAGATTGCGCTGACTGTGAGGATATGGTAAATATTGGTGGAATTTACTTGTGTAATTACACAAGGTACCTCCAAAAATTTGAGTATCGTACTGCAGACCTCCGAATAGTAGAATGGGATAAGTCGCAACAGAATCTTTTCTGTAAGTGGTTATCCAGTGACTCAGGTATTGTCACATTTGAGAATACGGTTTTATTTACCTGCTGGTTTTGTTTGTCACTCATTCTACGTACCACCGATTCCCATCAGTTTATTGCTGGTAAACCGGTGTGTCGGCTTCTGGTATTGATTTGGTTTATTCGGATATCGTAATGATGTATCCTCTCTCAATCGACTCCGGTTATATCTAACCTTTTGCCGTCAATGAAGCCGGTGTACGACTTGATATGTAGTTCAGGCTTAATTTACCACCAACATCAACGTCGATGGCAATGAGCACGGTTGTGTCACTCTGATGTGCGGATGGATAACATCTAAGTGACCCAATTTACGCTGGGCCGGAAGGATTCGGAACAATCTTACCATCCGATTCACTAAGGTTCCCATCGCTTGCTTCTATCCAGAAAGCTGGGACTAGTTTCTGCAGACGTCTCAACGTCTGTGTGTATTTCGTGGACTATAGTTGGGTTTCTTTTGCCTACTTTGTTGCTTGTCGTGATGTGACCCTCAATTAAATGATGCTCTCACTTTAGTAGAACTGTGCCGTCGGTAACGATGCTGATGTTACTGATAACTTTAGTAATGCTATGGTCAGGTATGCGAATGCATTGAGGGGTGCTGAGAAAATACTTAATTGTTAGCAAAGTCGAAGGAGCCTGATAGAATGCCTCAACCTCCACATCAAATCTAGATGCTGAATCACTGGGCTGTGTCCAAGTGACTACGTAATTGCCGGATTCTTACCAATGAGGGAATACTTTGTCAACCATACGTTATGTATGCTTTTAGCATAGAGAAATCACCTGAAACATCGGCTTGCGTTGTTAAATTAAGGAAAGACAAGGAATTCGTGCTCAAGGAATTTACTGGTAAGGATAACCATGGGAGCTTAGGTTGCATAATTAACGTCCACTAACTCGCAACATTTCAAATAGGTGACAAGTAGACGCAAATATCCTGTAATTATTTGTATTCTACTGGACAGTGGCGAACAGTCCTTAAGCTGGAGGGCACGTTTTCTGCCTTAAACGTTTCGCATCAGTACCACTTTCCGTATCGGATGAAATCTTTGGCATTCAAAGCCAGTAGAGATGTAAGATATGGCCGGCCGTCCTCGTGAACATGGGGTTTTTTTTGAAGAAAACTCAGATAACGTGAATGCTTATATGCATATGCACTGATAGCACATAGCTACCATCCATGAACGATGGTCATGCAACCAAAGCTGTCACTGAGGGAGCCAGTCATCATCAGGTTGTTCGACGCAAACAGCAAGATTGATATATAATGGCAGTATGTTTTTTCTAACTGTGAATTTTTTTCACTGCCTTTAAGTAGCTTTTGACTGAATATGGTAGCCATTCATTAACGAAGAAGAATTGCGTTCAAAATACCCTTGAGGTTCGCTGCAGAGATTGATCGTTCCTGCTGGACAAATTCTGCAAAGCGGATATTGAAATAAAAATTAAAAATAAACATAGTCCCGGGCACTTTTCGGCAGTAATTTCACTTCAGTTGGAACAGTAGTGATGCATGGCTGGCTTCATAAGAAAGAAAAGAAACGAGATCTCATACATTTCAGTTATCACAGTGTTTAATATTTTTGCATCCACAGCTCTATATGTGTATAAATTCTGCACAATCACCTGGAAACTTTTCATTAAGACAAATACGGATGTTCCAAAGATTCATCCATTCTGCCCTAATCCGTGTTCCGTGCGCCTGGGTCCTTGTTCAAAAGTGGAGAACGTAATCCCGGCATTAAAAACACCAGTCCTGCTGCACTCAGTTAGCGAAAGTAATTGCATTGTGATTGGGGACGGATTTTACGAAGGACAGTATGAATGTTTGTGTCGAAAGGTGGGTTAAAAGTTTTGAGTAGCACAATTTTATCACCGCTTTTTTATTTGTAATTTATGATCGAAAGTATCATGCACAAATTTCCAGTCGAGTTCAAACATTTTATTGTGTAAGAAGAGCACAGATGAGTTCACACGATGTTCTCCTTAATCATGGCGGAATTAAAATGCAAGGGCATAGGCATTCTGACTAAAGAGCGAAACCCTTACACAAAAACCGAATGAAATAAATACAAATTCGCGTCATAAAGACATGACCTATAAAGACAGACATCTGCACTTTTGTGTCAAAAAATGCAGGCCGACCTCGGGATTTATCGGCAACTGTCATATAACAGTTGTTAAAGGGTCCCACATGAAAAATCAGCCGGAAAATTCCAGTATTCTAGCCAGTAAGACAGATGGTTGTACAAAAACCGAAATTTACATGATCTGTTCGACGTACCATCCTGTTCATGGCAAGCCAACCCATCAATAATCTATAGAAGTCGTGGTTGGCTGATGAATTAGCGGAAACTTTGAAATCTCTTATTTTGAAATCGGTTGTTTTTATTGTCTTCTTGTAGTGGTCAGTATCATTCTAATAGACTAATTTCTGTATGCCTGTAGCGACGTCAGTTCGTATACATAATAACAGTTAAGTGATATGGTCCGTTTCATCCAGTTTTACGTCGTCCAACCGATGGATGAAACACGTACAAGGAACTGTTATAGATGTAAGAAGATGTAAGAAGTAAGAATAATGATAGACTCTCCGTTGTGATATAGGACGCTTTCAAATACTGCGGAAAATGCGACTATTTATTAATCGCCAATACCTACCACTTCGATACATATCTGGAGACAGTCAAATTATTGTATTTAGTTCACAGGAATGTGCACGTAATATTTTAAAAAGATAACACAGCTGTGTCCAGCCTCAAATCTGTAAGGAGCTGGCTTCTGTTTCTTTGCATAAAAACATTAAAGATGCCAGATTAATGTTTAAACCCCTAGTTGAAGTCCAATAAAAACCAAAGGGGCACAATACAGTGCAGTGTTACTGAATTGCGGGATATCAAAATTTGTTAGTGGATATTTCTTAACGACGGAAAACATAAACCGATCTCTCCTCCATAGTTTTGTAAAAACGTGCTGTGGAGGTTGACGGTGAGATGCATAATGCATGCCTTTCAATTCTTGACCAGATTATAATGACAGGTGGTGCTGGACTTTTATTTTCGTTACTTTTAGCCAGTATATATATATATATATATATATATATTCTTAGAAGACTTCCGAAAAACTTGTGTTTTCTGATCGTATTCGTCACTTACCATCCCAAAGTTGTGCTACCCAATGAAATAGCCATACAAGTATGATAAACAGGCGAGAGTCACCAAGTTAATTTTTCTAAAGTGAATGCTTGTCTTCGTTTCACATCGGATGAACTAGGAAGTACCAGCAACTTACCTTATGAAGCACTGTATGTACTTCGAGTAAGTTAACTTTATATTCCCTGCAAGCCGCCCAACCGGCGGTCCTAATACTTTCAACGTTCGATGATAGATGAAAAACGCGCTCCATCTTTCATGTTCACTTGCACGTTCAGCAGAAAGAGCAAATTTCGGACAATTTCCTGGCCAAATATGCTACTTTTAGGGTTCCTGAAAACATTAGGCAGCCCACGACTGGTTTCTCCCGTCTTTGGGCTCACCAGGTAAGCGCAGTTACTCAGCTTCCACCATCCTCATACTCTACATCTCTCACCATCTTTAACTTCATCTAGTTTTGGTGTCACTTGAACTTTACAGTGAGAAGCTGGGCTTATTGACCGCTTCATTATACAGCGCTTCTGATACCCCATTGAAATCATTCATATAGAGGTAGATGAATTTTCATGGTCTTCATCCCATCGTACAGGGTTACGTTTGGAATAAGGACTCAAAGACTTGCATGCCGCATGATTTGTGCGCGCTAAACGAAGCTGAACGACGGAAGAATTCTTCAATCGAACCGATTTGCTCGGAAGCTGGCACACTCCGTTGCATTTCATTCCCCCCGCCTACAACAGAAAGCCAGAGGTCTGATGACATTTCTGCCAGTGTGCAACTTGCTTCTCGGTATGCATGCGTCTGTCGAAGCGGATATATGGGTCCAAGGTGTGAACGTCTTCGGGATCCATGCATTGAAGTAAATTGCTCATTTTGTTGGTAATTTGAAGGTTTCCCGGTGATTAGTGATTTTGACTGACGAAGCAGTCAAACGTACATAGTCGTCCTTCAGTGTTTTTGTGACAGAAACGGAGACGTAGTAACTTTTCTAACAGTTCCTGAAAGCTGTTCCAACGCAACTTTTATGTTTTTTTTATGATTTCACATATAATTTGCAAGAGTTCTCCAGGACCAACATGTCACCTGGTAATTTGTTGCGTGACGCAAAATGCCGGGCTCTGTCGTGTTACCACTACGAGTTGCCAGTGCATAGTGGCCATTTCTAAAAAAAGATAACCAATAAATACCGCACAGTTGTTTATTCTTACAAAGAAAAATTCGAAAGAAGCCACAAAACTGCAGTCTTTCGACAAATAAGATAATAACTGCTCTGCTAATAGTGAAGAACCCAGTTCTGCAGGTAATATAGATAGCAAATGTTCAGGTTTGTGGGATTTACAGGTTGTTGTCTAAAATGCTAGTAATGTGTGATGGCACTGGTGTCCGCGGTTCTTTAGCTATAAATCAGACCACAATACGGACTTTCAAATGTTGTGCCGCAGTGAAATAAATGGCTGCTTTGGTGGTGGTCGCTGTGATGGTAGGAGCAGCGGTGTTGAGGACGCTAGTGGCCCAGAGTTAGTGCTTGGTGAGCGTGATTCTAGTGGCACTGGTGGTACTGTTGACTGTAATGTTTACAACATGTAGGTACTGATGTTACCAGGATACTTATGGTATGATCGTGTTTTTTTCTTTTGATTTGGTGCCACCATCCCTGACTAGGCATTGGAAATCCTTCAGTTAGGGTGGTAATGCTTTTCGTAATAAGGGCGAACGCTCACGAAACCCAATTTCATCGCGGCTTCTCTGAAGGGCTTGTACGCAGTGTTTCGCAGCGTTTAATGGGATTGACAAATTTGATGGCTCGTAGATTTGTGAACATTATGAGTTTCCACAGTGAGACCAAATCGGCGCAATCTTTTCTTGGCTCCTGTTTCATTCTGCCGTCTTGAAGATTAGCATCGTTGGCATTACCTACCAGATGGCTAATACTTACAGCCCATGTCGCAGTTGATTCAAATGGGTGTAAATTAATCATAAGATTCCCCGTACGTCAGTGATGCTTGGATGAAATTGAACCCGTCCGGCCAGTCTTAGTTTACTGCTGAGGCTTGATCATCAAACCGCATAACGTAAATCTCTGTTGTCTGTCAGGCAATTCCACCAAATAGGGGTTTTAAATTAATCTGTAATAGGATGTAGTACTCCTTAGGAAAGAGATGCTGACAGCTAAGTGATGGTGACAGAAGCTGTTGTCGTCGATGGGTGAATCTGGTGGTGCCAGTGACCATGGGATTCGTAGGAAGAGCAGGACTGAAATCTGTTCCGGTTGGATGCATACAAGCTGCCGGGTACATGAGAGCTCCATGGTTGTCATCACTCTTGGTAGAAAACGGAAGATGTCACGCCTGGCAGAACTGTCCATATGAAGAAGAACCGCTATTTCTAAGTGCCTTTCAGTCGTGTGAGTATTCTTTGCTTTTAATCCTGGGGATCAGTATGATAACGGCAGTTACTCTACACAAAATTCGTTCTGCTCAAACAGTCGTCATAAAGCGTCTGGTTTGGAGAGGCTGGCAAGCACCATTGTGTTTCAACACGTTTTCTACATAGGATGTGTGTCGAATGGCTTGAGTCTCCACTTCATCAAATTTCACTTTGCATTTGGTTCCGAAATCTTGCGCATTCGACTTACACAATGGTTGTGACAATTTGTGACGCAAATTGGTGATTTTCCTTCCAAAGTATCTTCTCCCTGCTCCTTTTCTTGACCTGATGTTATTTGATAATTACCAAACTATAACCCTAACAGGCATGGAAAACTCTGAGTCTAAATTCAACGCTCACTTCACTATTACTGTAAGTGAGGTCATTGTGGAGGCTGAGACGAAGATCAGAAAATTGGAATAACTCCACTTTCCATTGTCCAAGAGGGTATCTTGTGGATATCTCATTTGTTCTGGCCGTTTTTCGATCACCATATTTGATTGGATATTTCAAGCAACCACTTAGACGTTATTGGTTTCTCCATAAACGAGAGATGAATGGCCTCTTTATGGAGGGGACATGTGTGGTATCCGAATGCACGAACCAAGGTTCATAGAGGTAATTCGTCTTTACGTAAAAACAACTCATACTTGTATGTTATTTCGCTCTGACTCTGGGTATTCGTTTCATTTCGGCCTGAATCTGCATGTCTAACCGAACTTGTACTCATTAAAGAGAGTTATTTCAATTGTTCGATATTCTTTGTATACATTTGGTTAGCTGGACAAGTTCTGGACAGTTTCACAGTACAAACCTCAGCAGTTCTCAGCACACGCTCAGCGAGTCTTCAGGGATATCCCTTGGTCGTTTATTGCACCAGGTGCCATATTACAAGTCTGGTCTAGATGTGGCTGCCAGACGTAAGCGGACATGATTGTGCATCATTCATGTTCTCCGCAGATGAGAACAAATACCAAAAATACGGGGAAATTGGCCACTACAAGATTGAAGTGGGTGGTCGTCCTGTGACAGTGGGCTACCAAACCACATATTTCTGGACTAGGCCGGTATATAATCTAGGACCAACACAGGCGAAGCCAGCATAACGAGGGGAGATGAGCGTTGCAAACCATAGATCCTAAACAAAAGTGCAACTAAGTGTGGCAGGAAGATAGAACTGGAGTAGAGTTTTCGCAGCAAGTATCTACCATAATCAGAGGAGTCATGAAGCAAGACAAATGGAAGAGTATAATGTCATTCGTTCTTTCAAAGCTATTAGATGTCATCAAGAGATTATGTGAAACAAAAGATATGTAGATCCTGGGTTCGGTTTGTGGTTTCACATTAGCTGCTTTGCGAAAGGCACTGACAAGTGAAGGAAATCATCACATTTTGGTCCAATGCGCCACGTTACGGTAGCAATGATTAATATATTTGTGTGGCAGAACGCTTTCTATGAAAACTGTTTACAGGCGCCTGTCCACCATGATTTTAAAATGGCTATATTAAAGGAAGGTAAATTCATACCACTGCATACGATAGTATATATGCAGTCATCACCTGTCTGTGCACTGAAAAAGCACGTCTGTACTTTAAAAATCCATGTAGACTGCTTCTGTCACGTTCTCTACTTTTAGGATCCCTATTATCCACTTCGTTAAGTTAACTAACTTCTCAACGGTTTTTCCATGAATACAGAGCAGCAAACCTGGATCCGTGGCTGGTGAACAAGCTTGCCGAACGTATCTGGGAAACAAATGTACACCACACAACGGGACTGATTACTACTTTTGCAAGTGTGCAGAAAACTGGGTTCATGATTCGACATTCCCCTTCCCCAATTGTTATAGAAGAAGAAGCATTTGTGATCGGGTAAGTACAGTAGATGTCCAGGCATAAATTACCGTCTGGATTTTGAATTGCTTGTTTAGCGTTTCGCCGGCAGGGCTGCGTATAACATTTGTTAATTTCACCTACTCAACCGTAAACAGTAGTGTAAAACTTGCGTGTCTCGCAGCACGGTACATTTGTTGAATTTATTGATCCTCCTTGTCCACCGAAGGTTTAACTCGTCTATCAGAGTGCTTTACTTAACTACAGAACTAGCTCTACATTAACCGGTTATTCTCAAAATTCTCTGGTACTGCTGTGAAATGAAAATGAAAATGATGGTGATGATGATTGCCATGCTATTGACGATTAGGCAAATGGCAGATACGAAAAGCACTCATCTGAAAAATTCACGCTGATTTTCTCCAACAAATGATCCTGGAATATTAAATTATTTTCAAATGAGCACATTCTCATACTCTTTACTGCTCGAATAGGTCCCTTATTGAGATGTGAACTTACCTATTGTTGATTGACCTGATAGATCAATTGAAATTACCTATTGCCGTTCCAAATGTTTACGACATTGTTACCACAATTTAGCTCTGGATTTTTGGAGAGAACTTCTCAACTGAAATGTGGACAAGGCTGGCTCATATGTGAACCAGTGTGGGGTTTTTCATGACACGGTTTGCTACTCATAACGACGAGGATACCATATGCGTGAGGCTCAGTCATCGTCATCACCATCAGCAACAGCAGCAGCATCAGCTGTAAGAACCACGCACTGGCCGTATAAAAGTTCCTGCTGCTACAGTTTCGTCCACTGTAGGGTTATTAGCTGCGCCTTAAAGGCGGTAGCTGATATGAGTGATACGTAAATACAGGGTTGCCGGTGAACTTTCCACTGAGATGCTGGGAGGAGAATCATGCAATGAAGGCAATAGGCTGAATGCACGAGCTCTATTGGGGGCACAACTGGGCCACGTTTGATAATGTCTCCAACAACTGGTGTTTCGCTCATTGTGGCCCCAATCCAAAGAGATGGCAATAATCAGCGCAGATGAGTTTGCTATTAATGGATTCCATACGTCGCTGCCAATCCTTTTGAGTTTCGCTATAAAGCCCAAGGTGATCTGTAAATTAATGCATTCCACCAAAACAGTATATTAATTGCGTAGAGTGCGACAGTCTGGAGAATAGGTTCATAGATCAGTTAACACACTGTTCATTCAATAACCGAAGAATAGCCCTGTAGAAAAGTGTGGACTTGGTTAAATCAGCCAATAAGATCTTTGAGCCATAAAGCACAATGCACCACATCGCTGTGTTAAATCCCTTACCTCAACTAACATCACAGGCATCATAGGCAATTTGAAGAGACCAGTATTTATTCACCTGGGACCACACCAGCTGGATTTTAAAGCTCCTAATGGGTTCGGGAAAGCGACAAAATTGTTGCTGAATGCTTCTGATCCCCATTTGCAAGTCAACTTTCAATAGAATTCACCTAATCGATGTTAAGTTAAAGAAGAGACGAAAAGGAAATCGAAGACACGGTAATTTACTTTATTATACATCCATTAGGTGATCTGCCGCAATCGTGGTACGTGTGTGAGTTCCTCCGATCAAAGAGCGTTCCTCTGTCTATGCGAGTATGGATGGCATGGTCGACTGTGTGAACTGCCCGATGTTCGTCATTGGTAAGTTGATGTTTGGAGTGGCGGCTATCCTGAATAGAATAGTGTAAATCAAATGAGGCACCGTTCATTTCATTTAATGCCACACACTAATGCTGACGCTCTATTAGCAACAGCGAACGAAGAAATCATTCAGTATTTACTTTTTCACTTTCTTACAAGTGAATTGTAATCAAAACAGCTACGAGAATTTTTGTTCTGAGTTTATGACCACAAGGATTCATTAGAAACGATTCATTCGTAAACAGATCAATCACCGGAAAGCGGTCAGCTTCGTACAATATGAACCAGTCAGTGGAGATTAAGAAATCAACCTCGTCAAAATCTGCTGTTAACGTTTTTCGGAAACAACAGTCTACTAAAGAATAAGCAGAAGACTCCAATCAATATTTTATTCTGTGAGTGACTTACATGGCTTGCATAACCATGAACATTCGTGAGAAGCGCACTGCTAACGATTTTCAATGAAAGTGAACTAGCTTCATCTGTACAGCCAGTTCACCTTTATTGAAAATCAAGGCTTTTAGGCTTTTGGGCACGGGTTGGCTTCATTTACCGAAGGAAAACTTCAACATGGTATTTCCACATTTCGTTATATTACCAACACTTTAGAGTGTGTTTGACGCATTTCCACACGCACCCTCCGGAACACACGCTCGCTCAACTAGTGAGCGTGGTTGGTGAATGGCACTTAGTGTAGGACTCAGTTTTACAATGTTTTCAAAAATTTGGGCACGAGTCGGTCTCTATCTGGTGGTCACAGGTTTACCTGATCATGATAAGAGACTCAAATGCATATAGTTAGATCTGTCGTTCTTCGTGGCCCGCTTCAACTGTATATGTTGCACCACGTAGAACGATATGTTGAACATAAGAACTCAGAGACCGCAACTACCTGATGGACCCCAAGAAGGCGAAAACGAGTTACCCAGTAAGGAGTCTTGTAACCCAATAAGTAGTGTTACACCTTGATTATATTTCGTGCTCCGACCAATTCTGTGTTGAAATAAACGTTGTACAGTGGTGATGCGTAAATACGAATGACAGCAGGGACAAGTTTTGAGGCGCAGTATTATGCAACGAAAATGCACACTGGCTTGAGCTCACTAATGTGTTGTTTGAACAAGTACCAACAACTCCGTGGAATAATGGATATACACCAGAATGCACCTCACCTGGGAAAATTCGCTAAACCCGACTCAGTTTTACGCAGTGCTTGCCACTTTGTATATACCCTGGGCATACAAACAAAACAGTTTCAAGTGTCAGTCAGATAACATATTGACTTAACCGATTCATCTACTCGCCCAAAATATGATTCTACATGGGTTTTGTAAATCGGCGCCGTGCACACTCCACAATGTTCATTATTGGAACGAGAGTGCACCACCTTCTCATATGATTTGGTTTACAGTGTAGTCGCTTTTTGACTGATGAAAATTGATCAAATGGTTCCTAAGAGTAACTAATGTAGATGCAGATTCCTGCAGGCTATTAACCATGTATCTTAGCTACCTTAGTATAACTCTTTGCACAAGTGATTGTAAACATGAACACCTAGCAGTTGTATTTAGAAGTCTTAATAGGGCTTTCTTCGATGGTCGTCTACCTGAAGTTAGTGTAAAATGGATGCCTCTCAGGGAGATGTATATCGCCCTCTTACGTATTGTTTTTGACAAGCTCGTGTGAATACTTATTTGCAAAGGTTACCTTGGGGCCCGTGGACCCTGTGTTCTGCTCCTCTGTGTGGTGGGAGGGGTTGGCATAGCCGTACAAGAGAATGTCGCGTGCCAGTCAACAATGTCACAGGTCTCGGCCAATGTCAAGGGAACTCGGTTGAGTTTCGACCCTGTCGGAGTGGGTAAGTTTTCCACAAGGATTTACTTTAGTACACTTCACCGACAGGTACTGCAAATCGCCTGCAAACCACCTCAACTTATCGTCATTGTCAACCTGTCGTACGTCAAATTATCAACCAAGTTATCAAGCGTCATACACAAAACTATATACATACAGTATGAGATGTGGCACAAGGGATAAATTAATTCATATGATGTTCGGTTATTGATCTACGTTGATGAAGAATAAAGTACAACCACTGGATCACGTCAATTATCGTCCGGATAATGGTGTGGACAAGAAAAAACAGCTACGCTCACAGGTGATCACTGAGCGCAAATCACTTCGGAGCCACTTAAATTTTTCTTGCAGTCACTGGTCAGAAACACATCTCGATGACTAGACCGGATAGGCAACGATCCTGAGAACACGACGAAGATGCATCAAATTATCACTAAATTGTAGCTGATACTTGGGACAACACGTCAATGGTTGCTCTGAAAGTGATTGTGCTGCTCCCGCTTTTGAGAAACAATTTTGAATTTTGGATTGGATTTTGAAACATTGTATCAAGCGCGCAGAAACCGCATAGGTCATTCCTTGGGGTTATTTTGCAATGAATCGAAATGAAACAGCGGATGGAAATAAAATCGCCATCAAACTTATTTTGCTTATTTTGCTTATTTTGCAGAAGGCCGGCACCCATCCAGCAACAAGCTGGAATCATAGAAAAACAAAGAACCAGTTGAAATGTGATGGTTGTTTCCATCCGGTTACAGCTGAGTGGTCGTTATAAAGTTGGGAACATACAGAGGCTTTTTTCATAAAGGAGACTACTCACAAGGTCGCTGAAAAAAGAGGCGGTATTTCACAACCAAATATATTTTTCATATTTCAAGCAGCATTGTTAATGTGCAGCTGTAGGTAACCGTCAAGTTTTAAGTCGATTTTCTCAAAAGCACAGATTGGATCAGCCTATGCAAGTGATTCAAGTGATTGTCGTTGGGTGGTCTAAACTATATCATAATGATTAGTCCTGGATAATCCTAGTCTCAGAATAACACATGGAAGAGTTGGAATAGCCCCATTGCTGCTTTTTTATTTATAATGCTGGGGTTTGAAAGTAATCAAGTAAAGAGCGTGAAGTCCTGACCGTTTGGAGTGACCTTCATCATTGAACTGCTTTCTCCAGCACATTGTGGGCAATAAATTTCGTTGGTGCCTTATGAACTGGCCAAAATAAGGTCACGACCGCCAGCTTAGTAACTGGATATAAGGATAAAATGTAGTTGTTCCCATAAGGTCAAATTAATTAGTCGGGCAAAGTTAGCTTCATAGTTTTGTGTTGCAAGATAGAGTTGCGTATTAGCTGTTGTATGGGTATTGTGTGATTGTGTGAAGAAAAGCTTTTTGTTGGAAAACAATCAGACCCAGTGACTTCTGATTTCGTAGGTGATCGGCGTGAAGACATGTGGAACTTCCCTGGCCTACTCCGTTAAGGAGCATATGCCTCGGGCTCTGCTCGCTATTTTCACTGTTCAGCCTGGATTGCTCGTTTTCGCTCTCCCTCCATTCATTACATTCTTTCAAGCATATGATATGAGGGTGGCTTATCGTACGAATGCATCTGAACTGGATACAGAACGCCACACTATTTGTTACCTCCATATTAAAATTGTAGCACCTTTCCTAGCTTATCGAATGTGAATTCAAAAGAAGATAATCTGATCCATATACGTCGCCAAATCCTCCGAGGCAACATCAAGCTTTCTATTAGTTACAAGTGAATGGGTGATTATTGATTGTCGGTTGATAAAAATCGGCCAACAAACGCAGTCAACCATCCTACTGGTGGATCAGTCGATTTCAGAAACTGAAGCATTCCTGGCTTGCACAGACTCACGATAGGGAGGTTTCACGAGAGATAAGCTAAATCTTTACCTAATAAGACCTCATCGATAGTTGGTTGTTATTACTGTTACTTGCTGTTATTTGTTTTTTTTTTCAATTCATCCAGGTGCCCGGATCCTGTCCGAAGTTACGTACCAATGATAAAGCTGATAATCTTTTTTGGTTGTTGCCTGCTGACACTACAAGCTTCAGTTGGATTTATATACCTTCTCTTGAAAATGGAATACTTGTAAATTGGCGTCGTATTTAATTGTTTATTCGATTTGTATTTGAACTGCACTGTTTGTTCCAACTAAAAACAATTTTTTGATATGCAAGTTTTGGGCCAAACAATTTTTGTGGTCACGAAAATAGGGGCCAGTCAAACTTGCAGTTTCAAAAAACCAGTCAAGGTAATGGTTATGATGATGAAGCGAATGCGACATTACTAAGAAACAGAACTTCCGTTAATAACGTGATCCCTGTTCCATTGTGTCGGTTATCATGTCCATGTTTACACCAGGTTTTTTCTCATAAAACACAGCAGAATAAACGTACGAAGTGCGTTTCAAGCTCCTCCGTTTCGTGCTTTTAGTCTGCTGAATGACTTGACCCCTAAAGGCCTTTTGTACAGAGCTTTTTATGTTCAGATAATGAAAACTCGCTACCTGCAAAAGTAAGCGCACCAAACTGGTTTCACGTACCTTATCCACTTCTCCAATGCTAGGTCAATAGAACTGATGAAGCTTCTGGTAGAATGGAGTTTTATTTTTCCTTTCACAAATCATCTGATGTAGGATTTTGACCGTAATGGTGATCCGTGAAACCTCAGAAAATTCAGGCATTAATGGTTTTAATATCATATTATTAGTTTACATCAAGCGGCATGACCATTGCAAGAAGAAACTGTCGTTGTGTTTATTCATCACTGGGATTACGGACTCAACTCTCCGAACTGAAAGCTGGCTAGCTGTAAATTACGAGCATTTTTCCGGTGCTACTTATTTCAGAAAAGAAACGAAACTGAATCTCAGCGTTGGGGTCTCAAGACAGCTTGCACGCAGCATACTCTGTGGAAGAATAAGTACGATAATGACTACAGCGGACTAAGTTTAGTACCAGCTCAATCAGTTCAAACACATAGATCGGATCAAAAGTGATTGTGGATTACAACACCGCCTCATTCACAAATGTTAGTAGTGAAACAGCAGTTAAACGAAATCCGAAGCAGATCTTCTCCTTATTAGTACCACTTTTGGCGACGAAAATTTCGTAAATATCGAGTAGGGTGCCCCAACCAGAGGTAAAATTCAGTACAAACTGTGAATTAACAGTAATTTTGCAAAGGGTCATGAGAGTTTGGCTCTAAATTCAAGCAGTGGTTGAAATATCCAAAGTAAGAACTTTACACAAGTACCCGCAGCTGAAAAAAGATAAGTTAATCCACGGTCACGTAACGTTCCCTCTGCTGTCAACGTGGATAACCACTATTCTATATCAGGTTAATCATTGGATGAGCCTGCGACTCATTCGTGAGTGAGATGCGCATATCAAAAGGAGACCAACCTGCATGTATCAGTCCGTAATAAACCCGCTCACACTGGGCCTGTTATAGCGCTGAGCCAACAGCGTTAGTTTGGTGGCTTATCAAAACGTTGCGCTGCCAAGCTGCTAGTGCAACTCGTTGTTCCCAATGCTTGTTGTTCCCAATACTTGTTGTTCTCAATGTTCCCCGCTGTTCCCAATGCACGCTGTGTTTCACTAATCAAATGAAGGCGATTTTAACGCTTCAGAAATTAGAAAAGCCGGACTAGCTAGAACGAGGTTTTCTAAGAGTTTACCTGAGAAATTTGCACAATTATGATGACTCACTATTCTGAACTGTTCAAAAGCTTATTGGGAACTCGCTATTCGAAAACGATGTCATGGTCGCACTGTGGAACCCCCATCTATTACACGCTATCTGTTGACTTCTGCGATCGAGCAATTTTCCATGGTGACGTCATAACGGTAGTTAACCGAGAGCTTGGCTGCAACATCCATACAACCTGAATGAAGCACAAGGGCTGAGATATTGTCAGGCTACGCAAGCTCGGACAGAACAGTTAAGAATCAAACGTTGATTTCAAACCGAAACATCCAGCTAATCGTTTGATACGGTTGGTGGTGTGAAGAGATCGGGGTTTTGTGAGGATTTCGTCCTGTAATTGAATGTGATTCATGCTGAAAAGCCGAGAGGCACTGTACAGCTGTTTCATTCTTGACTTCACTCACAGGACGAAATCTTCACAAAACACCAAATTCTCCTCACACTACCAACAATCTATAAGTAGCTGAGTGGAAGAGTCAACTTGATCCAATGAGTGAAACTTCTATCTGAGAAGTTGTTGCTCGAAAAGCCAGTCAACACGTGTGACCGCCTGATGTGGATGAGTGATGGGACTCCCTTTAGACGGAAACTTTCAGATGACTGAACGTCTTTTTATTCTAGATAATTATGACTGAATCCCATTCACTCCACAAGAGAAACCAGGAAAAACTGCGTTACGAAAATATTGCTCATGCGGCCGTTCAGCTAACCATAACAATCTCTGGGTTCAACTAATCAGACTGACATCACCATCACTCTGATGATTTGGATGGCCTAACTCATAAATGCTCACTGAGTGAACAGAACATTAGTCTCTGACCCAGATTTATTACGTTCACCAAACCGGTGCTCAGGGATAGTGGCTGCTTTCACCACCATAATAAACTGATTTCACGTCACCCAACTACAAGTTTGGGGTGAATTGCTGAAACATTGAACACCTCACGCTTTTACTGATTCTGTCCACCCACACAGCCGAGTTCAGCCAAGCAACAAACCCTGATCACCAATCAGTAGATAAATGGATGAACAGCTTGGTGTCGTGCTTTTTAAATTCACGAAAATCCGTCAGTGCTGCTTACCAGAGAATTTGCCACGTCTGACTGGACCAGTGATAAGGACGAAATGTTCTGACTCAACTTAAATTTACCACTTTACCACCAAACATTTCGCATGAGTGTCCAAAATCACTTTTTTCATCCGATTAAGTTCGCATGAACCTAGCAAAAGGAGGTTGTTTTAATTACTAAAAAGACAAGGTAAGGGGAATTGGGAACGTACAATTTTCAGGCATGGTATTCTATCCGTACATTCAAGTTTGATGTAGGAGAAAGGTTGGTTTAGAAAATCTTGATTACAGACCAAAGTACATGCAATACAAAGGCTCTGCAGGAGACTCAAACCTGTGACCTCTTGTTTACTGGGTGAGTGCTGTATCAAATGACGTATCGCGAACGTTTCCCTTAGTACACACAAACGCACTTGAGCTTACGTTATTTCGTCACACATCCGCCTGCCATTAGTGAGTCCTTTGTGTTATTAAGGTTTCAGTACTCATATGCTTCCCTTGTATGCCAATACCGAGTAGTACTGGTGAGCCAGGCCACATGACGAGTGTTACGCTTCGTTGCAGCCAAAATCATGCACTTCCATAAAGCTGTTTTCGAAGTTATTGGTACGAAACAAAAAAAACAATAGCATCAGAACTGAAAAATGGCCTGTGGACCAAAGGTGGCTTGGGCAGTGATTCAGTACTATTGAACGTTCGTGAAAATAAATTATATTATATTTCTTATGGTTACAACCTATCTACTCTGTTCTCAGTCTCATTTGTTCTGCCTGGAGTAACGTTCCCGTGGACTTTTAGTTCGGTCGCACCCACGATTGTGTACAACAACTTCAATTTGTCAAACGCTCGCTCTTAATTCATAGTTCGAAACACCCAAGATATTCAGCTGAACAAACCTGAACAGTTCAAAGACAAGCGCCTGATAAACAGATTTCGGCAATTTAAGTCTTCCCTGGGATAATTCCCCTTGATCACAAAGCACATGCTGCTGAGATCGATAAAATCGTATAGTGAAATGTCACTAAATAGCGTGAGTTTAACCCATCATTCGCCGAATGAATAAAACAGGATCCGATTTAGGTTCGAGATTTCAGTTCCAAAACAAGAGCTGCTGAACAACACTACTAAAATCTGCCACAGATTTTCTTCGTAATGAAAGACTGAGTTTGTTGGAACCCGGCAGGTAAAAAGCTAAACAGATTCCATTTGATACAGCATAAAGAACAAACCTGTAGATGCTTCAGCTGAGATGTGCAAAATAGTCATCCTTTATTTTTGAATTGTTTTTCAGTGATCAAACATTGTTTATCAAACTCTATGTGTCGGGATTTACCAATACACCAAACTAAGCAACTGCAATCACACTGTGAGTGTGTGTGTTCAGAGTAGGTGACTGTGTGTCACTAAATTTTAGAAGAGCACCAAACGAGGTCATGATCATAATCTAAAGAGCTTCACTGCGTTGCCGCGAAAGCTTGCTTGAGCTGGGCATTCTTCGAGATACTTTTAACAAAGTTCGTTCTAAGTGCCAGAGGAGACAAGTCCCCTCAGAATAATGACCAGGATGCAAATTACGTGTTCCCATATCAACGCACCAAGGGGTTGTCCAATTACCCATAGTACACACACGTTTGCCTTTAACGTAGTTGAAGTTTTCAGGCTTCGTTTTCGAGCTACGTCAACCCCAAATACTGCATTAATCCCTTAAAATTAGGTCTTTCTGGAGAGTGATTACTTAATTTTGATCGTCTGCTGTGATGTACAGACCTGATAAAGTACACATGAATGAGCAGCCAAACTAGCCATGAGAAGGTTAGAAGAATATGAAGATCAGCCACCTTACGCATTGCCTGTGTCCACATGGCAGTCTCTAGTTTTTACGCAGTATTTTATAGGCGAAGTGTTCTGCCCATAATCCCTTACCATATGATGCGTAACAATGTCATCTGCATTTCATTTGTGATGCTAAGCAATAAAACAATAATTGCTGGAGGAAATACCTCACAGCCATATTGGTTTAATTTGCGGCACATTATTTTACCCAAGAACCCTCTGAATAAGGAAAACGCCAGCAACAATCCAGAAATCAGCAAAAGACTGCTTTGCCATTCAATTAATTTGTCAATAAAGAGCATGGACATGAGAGTGTTTTACAAGTTAAACGAGTGTCTGATCAGCCATCAGCAGGTTAGTTTGTGTAAACTGGTGAGATGATACGAGAACCGTATGAACATCGTGCATAATGGGACACCCTTGATAAAGTTCTGTCAATGCGAGACCAGCTACTGTTGACCATTTTACTCTATATTCCGACAGAAGTATTCGTTAAAGGAATAACCAGTATACTTGTTCTATGAGGCAGAATGGCAGGTTTTTGAT